TGCAAGCAAAACGTTCACAAATGTCAAATGATTAATAACCGCCGAAATGTTGGAGAGAATAGTTTACGCATCTCTGCAATCCCGACTATCACAAGTTTGTCTTTCATTTATCCATGGTCATACAGAACAAATTATGGTATCATTGTAGACAAATACTGAAATCTTTATGCAACGTATTAACGTCAAGATGAACTGTTCCCTTGCTCTTAATGTCACCCTTCCATTCCTAGGTTTGAATATTTTCATTTTGCCTTAGGTATTCCGAGTTTAGGCTCGCATCATGGTGGTGTTTGAAAGGTTTCACGAGATGTATGCTACCATCCTCCAGGGTCTCCACCTAATTCCCTCATCAAATGTCATCTGGTTTATTCATTGCAACAATAGGTTATTGCTGCTGGTTTCTGGCCAGCAGATCTGCATTACCTTCCATAGATAGCTTTATAAGAATAGCTGTACTTTCTTGATAGTCGTTATGATTTCAATTTCGTTCGGCAAAATGTCCTAATGTTTCGGCCGAAAATTCTAATTTCGGTGTTGTGCGACAGGTTTTTGAGTTCAAGATGGTCTGGAATGTTGGGAATGGTAACCTCACATGCCAATCCGTGCTTCAACATGTAAATTAAATCCTCTTCGTTTATCGATTACGTCCTCAATTATGTAAAGTCTTCTGTCTTTTCCGAAGTTCTTGCATTTTCTCTGCAACTGTGGAGGCTTGTTCCTATGAAAGCTGCTGCTTCATTGTAAGTCTTTTTTGCGCATTTATTCATATGTATGGGACACAATCGATTGGTCATCTTCGAAGTCCACACTTTCCAGCCGTGTCTCAAGTGTTTATGTATTCTGCACTTATGAGGTGTGAAGGTCTTCAACGTCCAGCATTCAACGATAAGGATGAAAAATAGCGATAGTAGAAAGTTTTATACGATAACAGAATTTACTTGGAACGTTTCTGTGAGTAACCCAAATACATGACTTTGAAGATTTTTCCTTCCTGTGAGTCTCGTATAATAGCGGCCATTGCCTTGGATACTCCATAGCGTCGAAGAGACATTGTAAAATATTTTTATCTTAGCTGTCGGATGCGTTTTTATAATCAGGGAAGTTATGTTAAAAGAATAACTTCATTCAGGTGACCGTACGGCAATGATCCTCACAAAAGTCAGACCGTTGATCTCACTTGGGTTTGTCTAATTCTTTTAAAAGCTTTCTAATACTGATAGTCGTGTGATGCTTATGTATTTCCCACACATACTAAAATCATATTCCTGGAGTCCCTCTTTCCAGTCTGTTGGTACATCGCAAAGCATACTACTTATAGACCTTTGAAATACATGGGTTGCGTTTATCAGAGTGACACACATCCTGACAAACTCAGTCTAAAATTCTTTGTAATATCTTTAAATGCTCGAACATGCTATCAGGGTGACGGAAAAGACCTACTGCGGAACTAATGTGATGATGTATCTTAACTTTCAATGAGAATATTCGTAAAAATGTCCACAAAACTATTCTGTTGAATCTAATTCTATCTCGAACGTGAAATGGTATGTTTTCACATGTTTCCGGACTTTTCACATATTACACATCTTTCCTATTAGTCAATATTCACGGCCGTCCTAACTGCACAAATATGCATTGTCTGTAAATTATATTTATTCTTCTTCTGACCCCATAAACAATTTCTATCTAACGGTTTGTGTTCTGGCATATTGGAGATTGAGGAACAGTATTGCGGTCGTACTGGGATATCTGGAGTTGGTCAGTCAGTAGAATTTCGAGTTGCCATATCGCAGTTCACAATATTTGGCGACGGAGATTTAGTGAGCGAGTTGGCGACTAACTATGGAATAAGAAATCCCAATGAGCATCCACTTCAAGTTGGGGGTGAACATCCCAATCCACCTGTTGTAGATAGTCCTGTGAAGCTGACACATTCAATATATATATATATTTGCTCGGTTTTGCTGACAACACTGAAGGCTATTATGACATGACCACCTTTCCCCAGGAGGGCCAGGATGGAGTGGTTGTCGACTAGGAATTCTTCATTTGTAAATACCCAGTCTAAGCGCGACGGCGTCCGACTGTTTCTCCAACGAGTTGCCGATTTCATATTTTCGAATAGTTCAGAATCTCAATGAGGTTAAAAAACCGAGCTTCAGTCGATTTTTCACACCCAATATAGGTATGTTCCACGAAATCGACTCCAGGAAGATTGAAGTCCCCTAGAAAGAAGGGATGAGTGAATCCGATACTAGTAGAGCGCGTTAATCCTTCAAGCATGCGATTGTTTTACTCGATGTCAACAGTGGGCTTTCTATAGATGACTCCAGCTAGAGATTTTGAGTCGGTAGACGACCCTACTCAGCACCATACTGTTATAACGTATCGTTTCTAGGCCCTTATAATATATATGAACGTGCAATGATACAGAAAATTACGTACGAGCAGTCTTGGGTGCTATTCGGTCCTTCCTATCTGCCTAGCCCAGCCCGTTAAGTCCAAAACACAAATAACAGCCTCAGCAATATGAATCATTATTCACAAGCATACTGGGTTATATATACTAACCAAACAGACCACATATATCAAAAATAGAAAAATAACATTTGTACAGTAATTGGCCAATGTGGCTGTAGCTAGGGGGAAAGTAATCAATAATAATAGTTCCAAGGTCAAAATAAAGGTATGATAAGAGGAACACGGAAACGATTAGGTCACTTATTTAACAACTGTCCAATAGGGCATGGGCATATTGTATTTGTCCATAAATAGACCTCAGATTTAGTCACTTATTTAACAGCTATCCAATAGGAATAGGCATATTACATTTGTCCATAAATGGACCTCAGATTTATGATTCATCATTCACCAGGGGATACAACACATACGGATCCATGAAGATTGAGAAACTCTTGGTTATGAACTTGCTGTAACTCCAGGAATGGTCGTCAAGATACGACCAGTATTCTAGTTTGACAACTAGCGACCAGTAGCACCTTCTATATGCGAAGCTTTTACCGCCAAAGGGAAATCAGAAGTCAGACGAGAAGAGGTAGGAAAGATATATTTGATACGTTATCAATATATCGAGAAGCGTTTGTTCTTAGCTAGCTAGTGAACGTAGGAGCTGTGTCCCACTGTGAGTCGAAACGTGATCTGGTACGGATGCATGACCGAAAGCCTTCAGTTAAACAAGTCCACTTAAACAACGTGGACAGCATCCAATGTAGAACACTTAGAAAGCTATTGAGTTTGGGGAGTTATTTACAGCTACAATCGCATATGTATAAGGCTACTCCATCCACAGTTCTTGTTTTTCTGTCGCTGCGAAACAAAGACATCTCAGGTATTGGTAGCTCCTGGTCCGTAAACTAAGAAGATATCCAAGTTCCAGATATTCCTATCAAACTAGCATTACTAGAATTGCTAAGTTCACGTAGCTCGTCCATTTTATTTGGTAAACTCGCGGCATCCATGTATAAGCAGTTTATGCTCTCAGTTTGAAATGCGTGAGCTTCTCCTTCCTGTTTGTCTGCATGAGCCTTACGTGAATGAACAGGTAGCCGACTTATAAAAGGTTATCCGAGTTAACAACCCCTGTCCTTTACACGTTTTTTCTGATCAAAGCAGGTGAAATTGTCAGCTCCAACCTGTCTTTGAACTTGGTCTTCGTGTAACGGTAAATAAATCCACAAAACGAATAGCTCTGCAAGTGTTCGATATTGGACGCTGACCACATTAGTTTTGGTGAACTCGCCTAGCTGAAGGCGCTCTGTCATTCACCCTCACCAGACCACGGTTTGGAATGGCGTGCTCAACGTCTCCAGCGATCACTACCCAGTTTAGATCAGCCACTCCTCGATACATTGATAATCAACCAAATATATCCCACTTCTGACTTTCGATTCCACTGGGTGGGTGCGATCCAATCATAGGTGTTATTGGTAAAGTGTTATCAAACTACAATACCTGTGGTATCTTCACTGGCATCATGTAGCCTATCCGGATGCATATGTATTCCGGTTGACAACCGACGTCTGTTGGCACGAAATGCTTCAGCAGTTTCATCCGCCATATGGGAGGATCAGAAAATCATCTTTACTAGCTGGAGTCTAGAATCTCCGTCCTTCTTGGCTAGTCTCGTCACTTGTTGAGTCAGTATGCTTTTAAGCTTCAAGGATTGCTAGATGAATTTTCATTTCCTAATACAGAGTTTGTGTGACCACTAGCCGTGTTTTCCTGTGCAGCACAATGATATTTCTTCAGCGGAAAACTTCTCGCGAGATTCCTTAGGGATGTTCCGGATGAGATTTTGCTCAGAATACGATATGTCATGCAGTATTGTTACGTTTCCATCAGATTTCATAAAGTGACTAGCTAGTAGGATACCCGATTCCGGTAGCATTGGTGAGTCTTACTCGAAGCAGCCTGGGAAAAACATAACAGGGATTCTACTCCTTCGTAACCAATCATGCACTCTAACTACTCAGACACAGACCGAAAAAAAACAAAGAGTTAATTAGTTCTTCTCTAACAAGTTGATGAGTAAACAAGACGATTTTGTGTCCTTTTAGAATCCTGAAATGTCACTAAGAGGTTCTAACCCTCATATACATACTAATAGCTTATGATAATTAAGGTCCAGACCTTAAAAGTGTTTGTCGATTGTGACTGACAAGGATTGAGGACTGAAAAATAATAAAATGCACTGACTATCCTCTCATTGTGTTTGGCGCGATTTGTGTATTGTTGGGTTTTATCGGGTTAGAATATCCACTTTCAATTTCCATCCCGAGATTGTCTTAGTCTGAGGCTTGTGTTAGTTCTGATTGTTGTAGATTGATGTAGTCATTAAATTTTAGTTATCCGTCTGTGCTTTCTGGGTCGTCGATTCTCTTTTTCTGTTTTCCCTTTACTAGGCCTCCTTATACTACTGTATGCTACCCTAGTATATAAAGTATTTTCTGGCTAGACGCGAACCTCCACAAAGTCAAAAAATGATTCCGGCCTTGATCTTTAGTTTTTTATTACCTTTATCGTTCGGTCTGTTAACCAGACATTTTCCGTGGTCAACAATCAAGAATCCGGAGTTCACGTACGAAACGAAATACTTTTGGACCAGGGTATTTATTCAGATAAACAGTATTAATTTCTCAACAATTTAGGTGGACCACTTTTCTTTCGTAAACGATGAAAAGTTCCTCATCAGGTATCTAATTAACAACGAGTCGTTCACTCCGGGTGGTCCGATACTTTTTTACACAGGCAATGAAGGTCCTATAGAAACTTTTGCAGAGAATTCAGTAATTGCTTATGCACTACAATTCTTATGATTCGATAATTTTTAAAATTCAGGGGTTTATTTGGAAGCTTTCTCGGGAACTTAATGCCTCTGTTGTTTTTGCCGAACATCGGTATTACGGGACGTCTCTTCCATTCGGGAATAATTCTTTCAAAGTAAGTTTTCATAACGTTTCATTGTTAGCTGGCAGAGTACGTTTTTTGTGCACCACCATTTTCCTAAGCAAACCTCTTAGTTATGGTTGCATTTCAGTCGGCCACATCGTAGGACCAGGCACATATATACATCAGTTCAAGTTGCCACACCTCATTAGCACAACAAGACGAACACCGAATTCATAGAAGTAGTTAATTTAATGGTGGTAATATATAAAATAAAGGTTGTATATAAGGATATAGTACAGGAAGAAAGGCAGATGTGAAGCAATTTCAATCTCAAGGTTTAAGGGAAGACAAAGAGTGTATACACTTACGCTATTGTGATCGATTCTGATCCATGTCACACAGTCTCCAACCATTGGTTACAATAGTCGCGCGGACCCCAACCAAGTTGTCTGCATCTACCAGCATGGCTCAGACTAGAAGTTAGTGACTTCAAGCACTGATGCCGCGTTTTGGTTTGGCCACCCCTAACTCTCTTCCAACCATCCCCTATACTAGTCAGCATTGTGCGTCGTGGTAATCGGTGTTCAGGCATACGTAACACGTGGCCCAACCATCTCAGTCGATGAAGATTCATGACCTCATCAACAGATTTACCATCATTCGCTAATGCCCTGAGTCTAACCTCACTGTTACTTACCCGGTGATCTCAGCAGATGCGAGCAATGTTTCTGAGACATCTGTGGTCAAATACTGGTAACTTACGGGTATCTTTTACTCTTAATGGCCACGTTTCGCTGCCGTAAAGTAGAACAGAGCGAACTACTGCGCAGTATACTCGCCCCTTAATCGATAGACGGATATCTCGTCTTAGCCATAAGTGACATAAGTTGGCAAAAGTCCATGAGACAACTGCTCGAGGCAAATGTATTCTCAGTGGTATTTTGACAGTTTTTCAGAATACTTGCCGTGTTATTTTAACAGTAAAATAGTTTAGTGGGCTTCAGAACTTCCCACTGCAGTCTCTTCAGCTAATCTTAGAATATTACGATTTCGCTCACTGCGCTTTGGACTGATTAATGATATCTGAATGCTGACCTACGCTGACAAAAATTGGTAGACAGCCTTCTTGATCTGCTTTCAAGTTTTTTCATTTTGCGCCTTTATAGAGTATTAAAACATTAAATTTCAGTGTGGATTTGTGATAGTGTTTCCTATCTAGCTAGCCAATTTTATTAGAAACCAAGCTGTTTATAACATTTCATTTCTTCAATTTACTTTTTGAATTTACTGATCTTTCGTTGTACACCCTCAATATATTCAGAGTTAACTGAATCCGCAATATTTTACTTGGAATTTGATGATATCAGAGCCTTGTCTTCTGAAACCGAAGTCGACAGGTTTCTAGTTATTTGTGAATTCTGTTAGCTTAATGTGATCAAAAAGGCTAGAATACCGTAAATTTTATTTAAATGCCTGATATTTTTTATGTTTATCGATGTAAATACACTCTCAATTATCTTATTGACCGTTAAATAACACTCTTGTTAGATTCTCTTTTTAAACGCGATGGTTGTGCACTATTTATAGTATCAGTAAACACTAACTATTTTTAACGTATAAATTTTAAGACTAAATCTGGACTTCGAACAACTGGTTTTCTCTTTTCATCAAACTACGAATGAAACTTTGTTTTTCAATAAATTTGAGCAATAAAATGCCTCCATTACTGAATGTTCCAAACTTGCTCTCATTATTCGAGACCGCTCTGAAGAGGAACTGTTTTTTTCTTTTGAATTCCAAAGGACCGTCAGCACTTTGGTTACCTAACTGCAGAGCAAACGTTGGCTGATTATGTGCTTCTAATTAATCAACTGAAAGCTAATTACTCATGCTTCGCTTCATCACCTGTAATCGCTTTCGGAGGATCCTATGGTGGTATGCTCTCTGCTTGGATCAGACAAAAGTATCCTAATCAAATAGCCGGGTAGTTAAAAGTGTATTTTGGTAGTTTGTTTTTCATTTATCATAAATGGTTGTTTGCGGTTCAGTACATTCATTTTCACTCTTCATGCTTAAAGTCATCGAGAAATATAACTCATTGATGATACTTGTTGCTATTAAGAAGTAAGTTTTTATAACTAAGATTTGACCATTGAAGTGATTGATGCAGTTGTGATAAGCTGGTGCTGCAAAACAATACAATGAGAACTAGTAATGGTTGATTACAAAACCGAGTTTATTGATTTATTGATAGTACGCTTGTAGTTATATTATTCTTTGAATGGATAAAACTAAATGTTCTTCTATCCAACGTACACGGAAAATGCGTATGGTTAGAAATCACAAATGTTGGGGCAAATCGTTGTAAAATGATATTTAACTGCTATCAAATGCCCAATAAATTTTATACCTTGTCCAGGAAATAGTGTAAGGTGTTTTCATGGCGACATTCGCAATAAGCTTACTTTGTACTTTCGTTCTGTCTTTGTTCATATCATGTTTGTGTTTTTTTGTAGGTCAATGTAGCTTTAAAAACTAAGTTATCACCTCTCCCCCATCTTCCTTCACGGAGATTGACTTGTAGTAATATTGATACAGTCGACCGTTGCTGCTACCTTGACGGGGTGGTCTGGTTTGCTTATCGTGATGAACCAATTGAGCTATACTGGCTGAAACAATCGTTCTTCAAGGGCCCACCATGCCAGGCTGGTCGGTTGAAGAGCAGTAAGACTGAATGCAGCAAACCCGAAGTCCGAAGGCAAAGTTGTACTGCTGAATGTACAGAGCTGTGAAGACAGTAAGGTGTATCCTTCAGACAACCAGCGTAACAGCGATGCTGCCTTCACACAAGGAGTGTCGAGTTAGTAAGGGTTGACCATAAAAATACACACCTCCCCTTATCCCACGGATACCCGTCTCCGGCGGTGAGGTCCCAAAAAGTACAGAGCTAACACAAAAAGGTCGTGTGTGACCAGCCTCAAGCAGTTGTCTCATGGGAACTGTGGTCACGCTCTCAGGTCACTAAGACCACCTCTAACTCAATTTCCTATTCAGGTACCTCCAGAAGAACCCTTCCACGGTGTGGGCAACTGGGGAGTGACAACCACCCTCATGCTTCTAACAGCACTCAAGATCACTGTATTCACAATCAATCTTCCTCTCCAATTCCTATAATTCCTCCTACATCGACTTTCAACTCTGAACTTCCTTTTTGGCTTCCTCCTCAAGTGTCACCACAAACAACGATTCCAGTGCACAAAACACTGTCCCAGGTCTACTGAAACCTCGCTCCAAGCTACGCATTGGAGCCTTCAAAGTACTCACCCTCTGTCAAATCAGTCAACAGGCCTCCTTGGATAAAACCTTAGAATCTCCTACCAATGATGTACAATGTGTCTCCAAAACATGCATACAGGATTCTAGTGTGGCCATTTACTTGACTTCACCTCGCAAAAACGGAGATCCGACAAGATACACCCTCCGTGTATCTGGAGACCCGATGACTAATTCTCGTGGACTTGCACGTGTAGGCATAGCACTTAGTACGAGAGCAGAACAAGCACTATTAGAGTGGATCCCCGTTAACAGTCAGTCAGTCAGTCGGTTACACCGTAGGACCAGGCACATATATACATCAGTTCAAGTTGCCACACCTCATTAGCACAACAAGACGAACACCGAATTCATAGAAGTAGTTAATTTAATGGTGGCAATATATAAAATAAAGGTTGTATATAAGGATACAGTACAGGAAGAAAGGCAGATGTGAAGCAATTTCAATCTCAAGGTTTAAGGGAAGACAAAGAGTGTATACACTTACGCTATTGTGATCGATTCTGATCCATGTCACACAGTCTCCAACCATTGGTTACAATAGTCGCGCGGACCCCAACCAAGTTGTCTGCATCTACCAGCATGGCTCAGACTAGAAGTTAATCTATGTGCCGTTCGGCTAAATGGCTCGGTCAGAAGTCGAAAGGATAGGGACACATGTCGTTGTAAGATGGTGGTTGGAGGTGGTCAACAGGAAACCCTGGACCAGGGTTTCGTGCTACTTGGCACTCGTCAGCAAGGTGTACCTGTAATCCTGAGGGAACTGATGCTCCCTGGCGGATTCGATCCCGCATCACTCAGCTTCACAGTCAGAGACATTACCACTGAGCTATTCGGGCCGCGACTAACCTCCTGTAGGACTGAGATGTAATCACAATTGATTGATCACTGGGTGGTGATCAATCTCATGCGTGTCAGGTCCTTCTTAGTGCTGGTCGAATGCTATCGATCGAGTTGCAATGTGACCACCAGTCTAGGTGGCTCGACACTGCTTGCACTATGTATATTGAGGTAAGATGGTGGTTGGAGGTGGTCAACAGGAAAGCTCTCTGAACTTCAAAAAGCTAAGCGCTCAGACATAGTACTCGTAGCAGGTGACTTTAATGCCCAATTAGGTAGCTTAAACCAAACAGAAAGACATTTAGGTGGGTATTTTAGTATTCAGGCTCAACGAACAGATAATGGTGATCGTCTGTGGCAACTATGCTTAGGCAATCGTTTATTTTTAGCAAGCACTAATTTTAAGCACAAGGAAAGACATCGTCTAACATGGCAACCACCTGCACCAAACCAACGATGGACTCAAATAGGCCATATTGCCATCAGTCATCGTTGAAGAGGCTCGATAGAAGATTATCGCTCGTACTGGAATACATGTTTAGACTCTGATCACGCTTCAATACGAGCACGCATTTGTTTGCGCCTCACTGAACTCAGAAAAACTACATTAAGAAGACCCATTAGAATTAAACTGAGTGACGAGAAAGCCAAAAGTAAGTTCCAGGAACAACTGAGTCCACATTTAGACAGTTCTATAAACGAGGCTGACCCAGATGTTGCTTGGAAAGATATACGAACAGCTGTGGAAACAGCAGTAACATCTATTAGTAATTTAAACCAAAGGGTTACAAAAAACCAGTGGATTTCTTCCAAGTCTATTGCACTGATAGATTCTCATAAACTCATCCCACCTGGCTCTGAACACGACGAAGAGCAAAAACAAATCAGATCTAGGTCAACCAAAAGTCTAAGGAACGATCGTGAGAAGTGGTGAGCAACGAAAGCAAAAGAGATGGAAAAGGCAGCGACTATAGGCAACACCAGGCAACTCTTCAGACTAATAAAAGAAACCGGAATTAAGAAGTCAAGTATGAGTGAAACAATCCCGGAAAAAGACGAGACCTTTATGTGCTCTCAACCCAGACGTTCAGAACGATGGGCGGAACACTTTAGAGAACAGTTTAGTTGGCCTTCAGCTACTATACAGTTACTCGCCATTCCAAACAGTCTGAATGGAACATTGAAGTAGGTCCTCCTACGCTAGCTGAAGTTTTAAAGGCTTTAGCATATGAAACGAGGAAGAGCAGCTGGTCCAGATGGATTGGCTCCAGAGGTCTTTGAATACGGTCGTCCAATTTTAGCGATTGGGTTGACTAATATTTTAGTTAAAATCTGGGAGTTGGACGTAATCCTATCCGACTGGTCACAATCTTTGATTGTCCCAATATATAAGAAGGGGTCAAAATCATCCTATCATAACCATAGAGGGATTAGTTTGACTAATATAGCATCTAAAATACTAGCCTCAATAATTATCGGGCGCCTAACTAAGACTCATGAACTGCAAACACAAGAAAATCATACTGGCTTCATACCTGGTCATAACCGTATCGACCACATATTCACTATTCGTCAGGTTTTAGAACACCGGCATGCTTATCGGCGTTCGACATAGTTTTTCTTGACTTAAGAGCAGTATTTGACTCTGTAGACCGAGAGGTTCTGTAGCAGTGTCTGTCATTGAAAGGTGTACCACAGAAGTACATAAACCTTGTGAAGGCTCCTTACTCGAACACTACCAGTCGAGTGAGAGCTTATGGCGACCCTTCCACGGTGTGGGCAACTGGGGAGTGACAACCACCCTCATGCTTCTAACAGCACTCAAGATCACTGTATTCACAATCAATCTTCCTCTCCAATTCCTATAATTCCTCCTACATCGACTTTCAACTCTGAACTTCCTTTTTGGCTTCCTCCTCAAGTGTCACCACAAACAACGATTCCAGTGCACAAAACACTGTCCCAGGTCTACTGAAACCTCGCTCCAAGCTACGCATTGGAGCCTTCAAAGTACTCACCCTCTGTCAAATCAGTCAACAGGCCTCCTTGGATAAAACCTTAGAATCTCCTACCAATGATGTACAATGTGTCTCCAAAACATGCATACAGGATTCTAGTGTGGCCATTTACTTGACTTCACCTCGCAAAAACGGAGATCCGACAAGATACACCCTCCGTGTATCTGGAGACCCGATGACTAATTCTCGTGGACTTGCACGTGTAGGCATAGCACTTAGTACGAGAGCAGAACAAGCACTATTAGAGTGGATCCCCGTTAACAGTCAGTCAGTCAGTCGGTTACACCGTAGGACCAGGCACATATATACATCAGTTCAAGTTGCCACACCTCATTAGCACAACAAGACGAACACCGAATTCATAGAAGTAGTTAATTTAATGGTGGCAATATATAAAATAAAGGTTGTATATAAGGATACAGTACAGGAAGAAAGGCAGATGTGAAGCAATTTCAATCTCAAGGTTTAAGGGAAGACAAAGAGTGTATACACTTACGCTATTGTGATCGATTCTGATCCATGTCACACAGTCTCCAACCATTGGTTACAATAGTCGCGCGGACCCCAACCAAGTTGTCTGCATCTACCAGCATGGCTCAGACTAGAAGTTAATCTATGTGCCGTTCGGCTAAATGGCTCGGTCAGAAGTCGAAAGGATAGGGACACATGTCGTTGTAAGATGGTGGTTGGAGGTGGTCAACAGGAAACCCTGGACCAGGGTTTCGTGCTACTTGGCACTCGTCAGCAAGGTGTACCTGTAATCCTGAGGGAACTGATGCTCCCTGGCGGATTCGATCCCGCATCACTCAGCTTCACAGTCAGAGACATTACCACTGAGCTATTCGGGCCGCGACTAACCTCCTGTAGGACTGAGATGTAATCACAATTGATTGATCACTGGGTGGTGATCAATCTCATGCGTGTCAGGTCCTTCTTAGTGCTGGTCGAATGCTATCGATCGAGTTGCAATGTGACCACCAGTCTAGGTGGCTCGACACTGCTTGCACTATGTATATTGAGGTAAGATGGTGGTTGGAGGTGGTCAACAGGAAAGCTCTCTGAACTTCAAAAAGCTAAGCGCTCAGACATAGTACTCGTAGCAGGTGACTTTAATGCCCAATTAGGTAGCTTAAACCAAACAGAAAGACATTTAGGTGGGTATTTTAGTATTCAGGCTCAACGAACAGATAATGGTGATCGTCTGTGGCAACTATGCTTAGGCAATCGTTTATTTTTAGCAAGCACTAATTTTAAGCACAAGGAAAGACATCGTCTAACATGGCAACCACCTGCACCAAACCAACGATGGACTCAAATAGGCCATATTGCCATCAGTCATCGTTGAAGAGGCTCGATAGAAGATTATCGCTCGTACTGGAATACATGTTTAGACTCTGATCACGCTTCAATACGAGCACGCATTTGTTTGCGCCTCACTGAACTCAGAAAAACTACATTAAGAAGACCCATTAGAATTAAACTGAGTGACGAGAAAGCCAAAAGTAAGTTCCAGGAACAACTGAGTCCACATTTAGACAGTTCTATAAACGAGGCTGACCCAGATGTTGCTTGGAAAGATATACGAACAGCTGTGGAAACAGCAGTAACATCTATTAGTAATTTAAACCAAAGGGTTACAAAAAACCAGTGGATTTCTTCCAAGTCTATTGCACTGATAGATTCTCATAAACTCATCCCACCTGGCTCTGAACACGACGAAGAGCAAAAACAAATCAGATCTAGGTCAACCAAAAGTCTAAGGAACGATCGTGAGAAGTGGTGAGCAACGAAAGCAAAAGAGATGGAAAAGGCAGCGACTATAGGCAACACCAGGCAACTCTTCAGACTAATAAAAGAAACCGGAATTAAGAAGTCAAGTATGAGTGAAACAATCCCGGAAAAAGACGAGACCTTTATGTGCTCTCAACCCAGACGTTCAGAACGATGGGCGGAACACTTTAGAGAACAGTTTAGTTGGCCTTCAGCTACTATACAGTTACTCGCCATTCCAAACAGTCTGAATGGAACATTGAAGTAGGTCCTCCTACGCTAGCTGAAGTTTTAAAGGCTTTAGCATATGAAACGAGGAAGAGCAGCTGGTCCAGATGGATTGGCTCCAGAGGTCTTTGAATACGGTCGTCCAATTTTAGCGATTGGGTTGACTAATATTTTAGTTAAAATCTGGGAGTTGGACGTAATCCTATCCGACTGGTCACAATCTTTGATTGTCCCAATATATAAGAAGGGGTCAAAATCATCCTATCATAACCATAGAGGGATTAGTTTGACTAATATAGCATCTAAAATACTAGCCTCAATAATTATCGGGCGCCTAACTAAGACTCATGAACTGCAAACACAAGAAAATCATACTGGCTTCATACCTGGTCATAACCGTATCGACCACATATTCACTATTCGTCAGGTTTTAGAACACCGGCATGCTTATCGGCGTTCGACATAGTTTTTCTTGACTTAAGAGCAGTATTTGACTCTGTAGACCGAGAGGTTCTGTAGCAGTGTCTGTCATTGAAAGGTGTACCACAGAAGTACATAAACCTTGTGAAGGCTCCTTACTCGAACACTACCAGTCGAGTGAGAGCTTATGGCGACCTGTCATATCATTTTACAACCTCAAGTGGTATCCGACGAGGCTGTCCACTATCCCCATTTTTGTTTAACTTCATGATAGACCTACTGATGGAAATAGTACTCTCGTTGACTGAATTTTCGGGCATTGATCTCCTACCACGAGGTCCAATTACCGACTTAGAATACGCAGACGACATAGTCCTGTTTGGTGAAGACGCTGATAAAATGCAGAGTCTTCTGTCGAACGCGTCGACAACTCCACTTATCTTGGAAGTCTAATCAGCCCTAATGGGTTGGTGTCTGACGAAATCTCATTACGGATTCAAAAAGCTCGTTTGGCTTTTGCCAACTTATGTCACTTATGGCTAAGACGAGATATCCGTCTATCGATTAAGGGGCGAGTATACTGCGCAGTAGTTCGCTCTGTTCTACTTTACGGCAGCGAAACGTGGCCATTAAGAGTAAAAGATACCCGTAAGTTACCAGTATTTGACCACAGATGTCTCAGAAACATTGCTCGCATCTGCTGAGATCACCGGGTAAGTAACAGTGAGGTTAGACTCAGGGCATTAGCGAATGATGGTAAATCTGTTGATGAGGTCATGAATCTTCATCGACTGAGATGGTTGGGCCACGTGTTACGTATGCCTGAACACCGATTACCACGACGCACAATGCTGACTAGTATAGGGGATGGTTGGAAGAGAGTTAGGGGTGGCCAAACCAAAACGCGGCATCAGTGCTTGAAGTCACTAACTTCTAGTCTGAGCCATGCTGGTAGATGCAGACAACTTGGTTGGGGTCCGCGCGACTATTGTAACCAATGGTTGGAGACTGTGTGACATGGATCAGAATCGATCACAATAGCGTAAGTGTATACACTCTTTGTCTTCCCTTAAACCTTGAGATTGAAATTGCTTCACATCTGCCTTTCTTCCTGTACTATATCCTTATATACAATCTTTATTTTATATATTACCACCATTAAATTAACTACTTCTATGAATTCGGTGTTCGTCTTGTTGTGCTAATGAGGTGTGGCAACTTGAACTGATGTATATACGTGCTTGGTCTTACGTTGTAGCTGACTGTCTGCCGAGAATTGTTACAATACTCTGTGTTTTGAATGACAACCTTATATGTCTTCGTGTCTTTGTTTCTTGTAATGAAGAAAATAAGTGGATGATTTTAGAGTAATAGGTGTTATTTATCTTAGGATTCGTTAAGCCTTAATTGTTGTCTGTTTAGGAAGATTGTAAGGTTGCGTAATTTTGAAATTCTTATTTTCTACTGTTTCATGTTTTTCGCCATGTTCTCTTTTAATGTTAGGTAATCCTCATAGCTAGTACACCACTAACTTTTCAAAATAGTCAGTTCCTCGGTATTTTTTATCATTTCCTGTGTGCGATGGTGGCGAAGAGACGGCCAAAGAAAGGTTACACTTTTTTTAAGCAAGGAGTGTCAGTCGGCTATGAATTCATCAAAATACAATAATTGAAATTATTGGGTTCTATGACGCACATTTGTGGATCATAGACTCCAAAATGTTATGTTAACTGCAGTAAGGGTAAATTGGCGAAGTTAAAAGTGAACATGAAGGTATAACTGTTAGTTGTTTTCTTGTACAGGGATTTTTAGACTTAGGAAATTATCATTTCAAAGCCTCGTGTAATGTACCACAAAATCTGTCCTTGTATTGCGAATCTGTCTACACTTTTCAACCTTTTCTCAAGTCATAAGCATGTCATTCTGTAAAATTTTGCTCAATCTAATCATTTTTTGTACTCAGTGGGATATTACAAATATATTATTATTTATTCATATTTTTAATAGTTCATCTTGTTCTTTTTCTGCTCTCGTTATTCTGGAGGTGTTAGTACTTGAGACTGACTCACCTCTGTTCATCTAACAGTCATAACCAAAGGTCTTTATTATGAGTTACATTTACAATAAACCGTTTATTTTTTTCTACTCTACTTACAGTGCCATAGCTTCTTCTGCACCAGTATGGCTGTTTCCCGGATTATCTGACTGCAATGGTTTCAGTATGAAAATAACAAATAGCTTTCTGAAATATGGTGGCGAGAATTGTGTAAAGAATATACAACTTTCTTGGAGTAATATTGTAGACATTGGCCAAAGTGGTAAGTTGTGCACTAATGGTATTTAATGTTGTTGCAGACCAATAAAGGGATTTTATTATTAGTTGATCTATACATCCCCGATACTTTATATCACTATTATATGTTGCAGCGTATGCCGAGTTAAATGTGGTCATAAGTTGAATATTTTGAGTAGTACGACCCCAGTTCTTCGTCAATGGCATAGTTCCTTTTTTCTTCAAGTCCTGAAGACAGTATTTTGATTTCATCATAAATTTCGTTTTGAACTTTTTTCTTTTCATGGTGTGACAGCTTGGGTCAGTAAACATGTTACGTCGCGAGATTATTGCGTTGCTAAATATTGCGTATTGCGATAAGACTACACGAAATTCTACCGGTTGACCAAATTCAGATATCCTAGTACGACCCCAGTACTGTTCCCCAACCTCCAGTAAATCAGAACACAGCCATTGAATAAGAATTGTTTATGGGGTCAGAAGCAGGTCAATAATGATTTACAGACAAGGCATATTTATACAGTTACGATGACTATTAACAGTAACCAATGGAAAGGAAGGACACGTAAAGGTTATAATTAGGACAACTCAAAATTCATCAATAGGAAAACGACACGTGAGAGTCATAGTTCGGGCAACTGTAAATAATGACCAATAGAAAATAACATGCGAATTATGTGAAGAGTCTGAAAACATACCACTTTACATTCGAGATAATTTTTGGGATATTCCTGTGAATATCCTAACAAAACATTTGAAGCATTTTATAATATTCTTGCATCTTCGCCTCAGTCAGTCGTAATCCACATAGATCATAACACAAGTTGCATTACTAGTTCAGGACAACGAGGTGGGTCTATACCCTAAAACATGACGAATCGTAAGGATTTGGTTGATATTCCCACTATCAGTTCTGAACTGACTTCTTTTTCTCAGGTTTGCCGTTTTTGGGCTTCAATAGGCGCTGCACTACAGTCGAGGTCACTATTTCAGACATTACATTTGTCAAACTAATTCCTTTATAGTTATCATGCGAGGATTTCTGTACTGTTGTGGAGTAGGACAATCAGAGATCGAAGCTAGTTAAAGTAACTTAAGTCCAATTTCCAGACTTCAGCTAATACCTTGATCAACTTAAATGTTAAAACTGGATTATTATACTCAAAGACCTTTAGTGTCGGCTTACATTGTCCCGCTGCTCATCGATTCAAGTTAATTATTTCCTTTTCAGTCTTTATAAGAGCTGGTGGGCTTGTTTCAATCTTCCTTTCAGGTTGCATAAAAAGTGTTAATTCATTTTTTTGGTAGTTTTGGAAAATGCATGGCTGTAGCTTTCTATATGTCCGTAATTATCTAGGTGAACTAGGATTCATTAAATCGTTGAGCCTTCTAATATATATATATATATATATATATATATATATATATATATAATGACTGAAAAATGTCCAGTAAACAAAGATCATATAAATAAAGATGCTATTAAATGGACGAAAAGGTTGATATAAGTCAGAATTTTAGAATGGTAATTGAAACACGTTTATTGATCCCTTATCTTAAAACTACATTACTGTTGAATACACCCGGTTGATACGTTATATTTCAAATGAAAATCGTTCGTCCCCGTTTTCTTATTTTGGTACACATTTTTCAGGTCATTTTATACGAAACCGCTGTTTGAAGTGTTTTCACCACATTAGCTGCTATTTAATGTAGTCTCTGAATATGTTATCTTGTAAATACTCTCTGCTTTATTCTTTCGGGATAATAAAGTGTGTGTACTAACAAAAGAATCTCTAACCTCATCGATTGTTGAAAACAACAGGTTTTCTAGGGGATTATGCTCTGCGAATAAAGCTGAAAATGAAATTTCGATGCAGATTTATACTTTATTTACAGCATAATCCACACTGCAAAATAATCGGGACTCATTAATCTTTAGAGATAGTTGCCATTAGGAATTTGTTTATGCTGATTATGTTGTACGTACCGTTCACGTAGGTTGTTACGTGGAATAAACAAGACAGTTTCTTCACAATTATTCATTAAGATATTTGTGTATGTACTGATACACTGTCCAGAGCATCCAAACCGAAGTAGGCAGTTTCGTTGGGGTGCTACTTCTCAACCCTTTGGTTGGTCCAATCCACAAGCCAGTTGAGTACCATCAGAAAATATTGTTTCATGATAACCGGTGACCAAAATAGTCAGTCAGTCAGTCAGCTACAACGTAGGACCAGGCACATTTATGCATCGGTCCAAGTTGCCATACCTCGTTAGCACAACAAGATGAACACCGGATTCATAGAAGTAATTAATGTAGTGGTGGTAGTAGTATATAAATTATAGGTTGTATATAAGGATATAGTATAGGAAGGAAGAGAGATATGAAGCAATTTTAGTCTCAAGGTTTAAAGGAAGATAAAGAGTGTATACACCTACGCCATTGTGATCGATTCTGAGCCATGTCACCAAGAGTCTCCAACCATTTGACCAAAATAAGTTCATGCTCCACTCATTGCTTCAGGATTCTGGAGCCCATTTACGCTATTTGTTTGGAGCCGGGATTATCCAAATCGTTCAGGTGGACCCTTCAAACCCATCGACCTGGTTTCAAAGACGGACGTTTTCTCTTTGTCACTTTTTCGTAAAAACAAATTCACCACATGGAGCTAATCAGTAAAAAAATCCCTAAAAGGGGCTATAAACACAGCCATATGATAACGTGTCGATAGTCAGATAGAGGACTATCGATCTTCAACCGTGCCATAGTATTCGGTTTACTATTCCTTGGTTAATGTCCTTACAATGGTGCGACTCAGTGGCTTTAGATGTTATGACATCGCTTAGAATGGAAACCAGTGGTTATCCTGTTGTACTTTCCTGTTTCCCTCAATAATACTGATGTAATCCTCCTTAAGTCTTTTTATGTTGCACCTTTAACAGAACTGTATTTCTTGTTAAACACTTTCTGTCTATTTTCACTGATTGTTACCCTTGTCTCCTTTATTTTTTCACAATTTTATTGATTCATTTACTTTGCACTTTCTTTTGTGGCTTTTATTGTACCGGAATTTATCTGAATAAATAAAATATCCTTGATCCATCTACCATCCAAAGAACAAGTTTGCTGAGCAGCAACTCGCTCTATTCTGTTTAATGTGTGATACGACCATTAATAACAGAGGATGTTAGTAGGTTACTCCTATTCCTTCATGCGTGTCTTCGGAGCATTGTTCGTGTATTTCGGGGCCATTGAATGAGAAGGGCTAGAGTCAGACATGGGATACCAGGTGAATTCAAGTCTGTTGCTGAGGTAGTAAATTTTCATTGATTGAGGTAATTGGGATACGTATCGCGTATGCTTAACCACTCCCTCCCTTAACATGCGGTGTTTTCTGGTATTGAAGTAGACTGGAAGGTCACAGGGGTGGCCGCATCAAAACATGATATTAGTCCATGAATTTGTTGACTGTTAGTCTGGGCTATGTGGATAGGTGCAGACTACCTGGTTGGAGTTCACGCGGCAGTCGCGATCCGTTATTGTTGACGTTGGGTGACATGACTCAGAATCGTTCATAATGGCCCAGATGCATTCACTTTTTATCTCACCTTAGATTCTCAGTTTTAAAATCACTCTATACTTTTATTCTCTTTCTATACCAAATCCTTTCTATCACTGCTGATATTGTTACTACTTTTACTACTATGAAATTTGTCTTGATAACTTTATCTCGCACAAATATGGTGTGACAACTTCAACCGATGCACATATTTGCTAGGTTCTCCACTGCGCGTGACTGGTTGTATTTCAATAGTAAATAAACTTAAGTTACTAGACTTTGCTGAAACCTTGTGTGGTGCATATCTATCTGGTGCCCCTTTGTACCAATACTTATATGTTTAAATAAATGAATAAATAAATACCTCTTTTTAGCTTAAGACTGAGTAATGCTCTACTGTTAGTAAATGGGTTCGTTTAAAGCGTCCTCTGGCTAGTTGAAAAGACAATACTATGGCGAGTATTCTTAGGGTAATTAGTACCAAAGAAATTAAAAGAAAAACTAAATAATAATTAGTTTTCTAATTCGCTTAAATCATTGGATGCTTTCTAGTTATGTGCTTCCTTTTTGTACCACAATACTTATGTTCGCTTACGCGTTATCATTCCACTTCTGGTTTGCCATCTATTTGGAGTATAAAAACATGCTGGTTAATATTTGATGCTAAACTATATTAAATACATTTTAAGCTGAGATGGGTGGCGGCTAGGAATGAGAACCAGGATGCGAGTTTCCTCTTGTTTTGGACTAGCCACCCGCGTGTATATACATCCCAGAGTTGATGTTCATTCCCGCTCGCTTCAATCACCATCACGTTATCTACTTAGTTACTGAGTTCAGATAGCCACTAATTTTATGAACTCGTTCTCTCAACTCTTTGATATTCTGTTGATTAAATAAACTCATTTTGTAACTTTATTTAACTAATAGTTTGATTAAAAATACTTGTTTATATAGCAATCTCTTTTTTTATCTGTTCACAATTCCGTATTATTTTGTTTTTACTAGTTGATGGGAAAGAATTATTAACTCACATGTTTAACATCTGTACGCCTTTAACTGATGTTCAGAATATCATAGACTACTTATCCGATTTTTTGGGAATAATATCTATGGTCAATTATCCTTACCCAGCTAGCCTGATTCTTGCTTTACCTGAATGGCCAGTCAAGGTTTGTGGTATATCCATTGTGTATCATACATATCTATTAACACTCTCAAACCAGGCGATATTTATCCTGGTTATACTGTTAGTTGAACTCTATTATTTCTATATCAATTATTTGTGTTATCTCTTCATATTTGTTCACTATACTATCATTTTGTTTCATATAGTATGTTTTTTGGCGTCTTTGGGTAATGTACTTAGCTCTTTTGTGTTATAAATTATAAAATATGCTACAATAGTTAATTTGGGGCTAAGTTGGATTAAATTTCTGTAGTAAAGTTTTTAGTATAAGATATAATCAGAATACACATATAACATCTCTTTGTGACTTTCTTCAGAGTTGAATAATGATTTGATCAACAAAATCATTTATTATTAAAATTTTGTGTTATGCACATTGTTATTACCTAATTTAAACTATAAAAAATGAATATAAGTTTGACTCGCTTCTGTTTATTATATCTTTCTGAAATAAAATTTAAAAGACTACATAGAATATATTTCCCCATAAAAATTGAACTCGTTACTGTTAATTGTTGTACAAAATTTTTTTTAATAGTTCAAAGAGTTTTAGAGCTCATGGCACATTGTATTTGGGAGCAGTTTATATTACATAGTCTTGTGTGCATAAATTGACCCTAAGTAAAGTACTATCTTTTAGGATTATTAACTGAACGATTGTTCTATGGTACTATATGATCACCTCATTTTTAGGACACGAAAACAAGAAAAATGTATTCTTCTCAATAATTTTATTATTCGAACAACAAACTTTAAATGATCGGGTATACTTACTGCTTAGTTAAACATAAATCACTATAGCTCTTTGAATTTTCATTTATACTCTTTATTTCTAAAGCAGTAATTACTTATAAAACGTTCTTAATTGATTAGAATTTCAGTATTTATGTTGTTCCTTCATATTCTCCTTTGATAGATACCGACAAACTGGAACTTCCGTGAATCCATAGAAAATAGACTTACTAATATAACGTTGAAGTTTATTGTTTGATTTTTCTCATTATCAAAGCTTTTCGTTGTCTCATCTTTACTAACATTTTCTAGGTGTTAACGGGACATTCAAAGTACTTCTAGTAATTAAATTTCTAACCACCCTTCAATGTTTCTAAATAGGTTCAGACCAACGTTTGACATACTCTTTTGTTATTGTAGATTTTATCATGAATGATAATATATTTTAGTCATCTGAAATTGTTTCAAGATTGCTATCGCTCACTGTTCCTAGACAAATTTGTTAGCACTAGATATACTGTCTTCGAAACTACTAACAAGTGTTAAGTCAAGACTAAGCAAGATACTCTGTTTGTTTGTTTCATTTTAAAAACCACTATTTGGTCCGTAGGTCGTTACTGTCGTTATTTTGATTGAAGGTCTCAATATTCAACATTTCTTGTTTCAATAAACTGTTAAACGTAGACTTTTATGCAATTTTTACCAATTTATATTTCGAAGTGTTATAACGCTTTTGTCGCTACACAGTTGAACCCAATAGGGAACACAAAGGTAAACGCAATGTAATGCGCTTCAGCTAAAATTTTAATATGCCTCCAAAAACTACTGATTCACCAACTATTGAAAGGACAAAAACATACTAAAGCTTATTTCCTTAACCATCAGCTTTTCATGTTCGGCGTTTAGGACTCCAGATTTGAAAGATGCGGGCGAGGTTTACAATCCGCAACGGTAATTATCAAAATATTTTGACTGGTTCGGGTTAGATTTTTGAGAAATAATACAATTCTCAACATAAGGAATCTTCTCTCTTCTATTTGGTAGGGGTTTAATTTCATTTTCCCAGTCAGACAGCTACAACGTAAGACCAAGCACGTATATACATCAGTTCAAGTTGCCACACCTCATTAGCACAACAAGACGAACACCGAATTCATAGAAGTAGTTAATTTAATGGTGGTAATATATAAAATAAAGGTTGTATATAAGGATATAGTACAGGAAGAAAGGCAGATGTGAAGCAATTTCAATCTCAAGGTTTAAGGGAAGACAAAGAGTGTATACACTTACGCTATTGTGATCGATTCTGATCCATGTCACACAGTCTCCAACCATTGGTTACAATAGTCGCGCGGACCCCAACCAAGTTGTCTGCATCTACCAGCATGGCTCAGACTAGAAGTTAGTGACTTCAAGCACTGATGCCGCGTTTTGGTTTGGCCACCCCTAACTCTCTTCCAACCATCCCCTATACTAGTCAGCATTGTGCGTCGTGGTAATCGGTGTTCAGGCATACGTAACACGTGGCCCAACCATCTCAGTCGATGAAGATTCATGACCTCATCAACAGATTTACCATCATTCGCTAATGCCCTGAGTCTAACCTCACTGTTACTTACCCGGTGATCTCAGCAGATGCGAGCAATGTTTCTGAGACATCTGTGGTCAAATACTGGTAACTTACGGGTATCTTTTACTCTTAATGGCCACGTTTCGCTGCCGTAAAGTAGAACAGAGCGAACTACTGCGCAGTATACTCGCCCCTTAATCGATAGACGGATATCTCGTCTTAGCCATAGGTGACATAAGTTGGCAAAAGCCAAATGAGCTTTTTGAATCCGTAATGAGATTTCGTCAGACACCAACCCATTAGGGCTGATTAGACTTCCAAGATAAGTGGAGTTGTCGACGCGTTCGACAGAAGACTCTGCATTTTATCAGCGTCTTCACCAAACAGGACTATGTCGTCTGCGTATTCTAAGTCGGTAATTGGACCTCGTGGTAGGAGATCAATGCCCAAGCAATGTTTCTGAGACATCTGTGGTCAAATACTAGTAATTTACGAGTATCTTCTACTCTTAATGTCCACGTTTCCCACTGGTAACAGAATTTTCACTTGGTTCTTTTCTATTAATGCAGTATTTGTGTACCAACCTATCTGAATATGACCCTCAACAACCTGTGGTAACCAGAATATCTTTATTAGCTAAGGCTGTACTATCACTGACGAATTATACTGGAAATCAAACGTGTTTAGATGTTTCAATGAATTTGCCAAATCTTGACGTTAATGGATGGGATTTACAGGTTAGTTCCATTGGTATTTACCTTGTTTTCATATGGGATACTTCATTTTCGTGTGTGAGAGTGTTGTATCTTATATAGTTACCATTTAATGATTACTCATGCGTTAACTTTCCGATAAGTAATAACTCAGTGATAATCGAAAAACTTTCATAAGGAGTACATTTATCATTTTCAAAACTATGAACTGTTTCTTCAGTATTAATCAGTATCAGTGCCTTATTATACATTAAAATATAGAAAAATTGACTACAGAAAACATTTCGTTCACCTTTAAAAATCTCATCATTACTAGAATGTTGATTACCAACAGGAGCGTTAAGAATAGATAATTAGTTGGTCAATATCATTTTTGGGTTAGAATCTTTTAAAGTCAAATCAGTTTTAATTGCATACTGAATTCACACTCCTCTTAGCTCATAATTTATCTATTCTATATTTTAATTTATTTGAAATGATCTAATAAAACTATTTTATTTTAAGTTTATTACTGTATCAAAAATTTGTAAAACTCGATAACTTATCAAATGAACCACGAAAATAATTATATCTTGCAATAAATGTTTCGAGTCATTACCTTTGAATTCCATCTGAAATCATAGTTCATTGAATATGGTTATCTATAGATTAAGATTCATCTGAAAAAAATTGATTACTCTGCCTACATTGAACTTTGATTTATTATTATTTCATTTAGGAAAAAAAAGTATATTTGAATGCACGATTAATGTAAGAGTTGTATTATTTCGACCAAATACAATAACAAGAGAAAAGATGAATATAAAGTGATGAAATTTACTGTAATAAGTTAATCAAGATAGTCATGGCATGAGAATTATTCAACCTATATTGTTTAGATATTCTTTGTCAAAAGCTTGGATTTCATAGTACGTATTTCAGCAGATAGTTATTTAATTGAATCAATCTCATATTTTAGTCTGATCATACCTATACTTTTCTAATCTAATCAATCAACTGCACTATATACAGGATAAATTTTAAGAAAGATACAACTTAGCTTTTTCACATATTAATATTTAAATAAGTTACTTTTGTATAACAGTGAATCCCATTACCATCGAAGAAATCGAAAGAAAGCTTACAGTAAGGGCTACATAAGATTGTCACAAAACTTTTGTTTATCCAAAGCTTCTACAAATTACATCACGTAATTCGGTTAAGTTTAATTATTTAACTTACACATTCCTAATTTTCCTTTGCTCTTTATCAGGATATGGTAAAAAGCGTTGTGTTTTCCACTCCTCTCAAAGTTCATGATTTGATATTGAAAATATAAGCATTGTTTAAAAAGTACGTCAGAGGCTTGAATACTTGGAGTGAAAGCAAAAAGCAATGGTAAATGAGTATATATTGTTTGGATATTAAAAAAGTTAGATACCACAATAGAAAGATTGACTTGATTACCCCCAAATATTCTACTTATGATGTCATTTTGATGACCTTCACCATATAAACCTTCATCAACTCAATTTGTTGAAACATGTGTCATATACACTTACCCATAGTTTATATGGATGTCCAATACTATCTAGAACAGAAGGTGTAAGTGTTCATATGACGCAAGATCTGACTTATTGATACAGTCTCATTTATTCCTCAATTGAATTCACTTATTTTAACTATATTTTTCATGCTTCCGTTGTAGTGAATATTATTTCCTCTCCCCTTCTCATCTTAATCCCCTCTCTGGATTTGTTGATAGGATGTGGGTTGTTACTTATCCGTGTTAGTTTCTACGCTATATATAACTGACAAACTATTTTCTGTAAATAATGTGATTCTTGTCGAAATAATATTTTTTAAAATCTTATCTTATAGGCTTGCATGGAGATGGTAACACCTACGTGTGCATCAGGACCGGTAAACATTATGCCTCCATCAAATTGGGACCTTAAGACTTACTCAATCTATTGTCAAAATCGATTTGGTGTAAGTCCGCGTGTCGAATGGCCAAAAGTTGAATTTTGGAGTAAATCAGTATATACTGTTACCAATATAATCTTCAGGTAAAAAAAACAGAACGTCTTTGTTATTTTTTCTAAAGGGTAACTTCTTTTATATAGAATCAGAAATAATCTTTTCGCAACAATTTTACATGTAAAACATATCTGGAAATGAACGTTTGGTATAACATTTGAATTATCTGGAGTCATGATGCTTACCATAGGGAAGGTATAAGGGATTAGATCAGTAATTTAATTATCATAAACAAAGCATCTAAGTTTGAAACCTATTCCAGGTGTTTCCATTTCCATAAAAAAATTACTTCACTAGCCTTCGTCAAAATATATAACCTGAAGAGAAGTTCATAAACCTGTGCTTCGTGAATGCTTCACACCAGCCCTCACCAAAAAACTGGTGTTTCTTGTGGTTGAGAATTAGATGAACTAATGTAAAATGATATTTGCATTTTATAAAGTCTTGACTATTTAACGTCGGTTGATTGTGCATCGTTCGACTTCTTGTTGTTACGAGGTGTTATCTGTCTAAGAAATGTGCGTAACTAATCAGTATCCTTGATAAATTCAGTAAAATATCTTGATTTATCATGTTTATGTTTCTTTCCAGTCTAACTGGACAAACATTTAGTAATCTCAGTATTTAATCTAGAAATTGACATGGAGCAATAGATTTGTTATCAAAAATTGTATATTAAGTCATATTGAAGTAAGATGTAAATTTGTTGCTATCACATTACTTGGTTCAGACTAGTTATATTGGAATTCTAAAAAAAGTCAGTCAGGAATTCAGTGTTATTAGCTTAAAACTATGTTGAAATATATAGATCTTTTTATGTATACACTTGTAGGTATGTACGATTTCTTTAATTCAACTTTTGAGACAGTTTTTGTGTTGTTTATATGTAATCTAATACCTTCTGTCAATAGTTGTCTGTTAGTCATCTAACCGTTTCAACCAGCCAAAGTTTTTATTTACCTTAAAAAGACATTCCCAATATAGTGAGTTATTGTCTGCAATCATTCAAAAATGTCTTTGGTAATTGCATTATCTAGGTTGAGGTTTGTATGGCTATTTTTGTCAGTGCACAATAGTAACAACTGGCTATTTTGCATGCGGATATATGACTGCCACTTCAACATTACTTCATGTTTAGATTATTAAGGTGAAGTGTCTAAATTACTGTGTCAGTACTCCGTGTACTCCTTAAAACTTTATATTCGCATTGTAAAACTATTTCACTAGTCTAGACACTTAATTAGAGACATTATTATTATCTTAAGCCTAATATACGTATATCAATTTGAAGAGCTGTATCATCACAGCATTTCCTTAATAAGTTTTACGCCTTGTAACGTAAATTTTCTGCGTTCAAGTTGAATGTCTTAGCAATTTATTTTTTCTTAATGTTAAAAGCTATGTCAATAATTTTGTATTACGCCTCAATTACGTAGTCTGTTTGTTTAGGATAGAATATTCAGATTCCTAATAAATTAATGGATACGTTTCTTTTTATATTATTTCTAGCAATGGTGAGATTGATCCATGGTCAGCATTTTCAATTACAAATAATAGTTATGTCCCATTTGCTACAGTGATCAATATGTCTGATGCTGCTCATCATTTGGATTTGAGAACTCCTAACCCGGCTGATCCTCAAAGTGTGGTTGAAGCAAGAGAAATTGAAAAACAGAAAATAATTCAATGGATAAAAGAATGGAACCTTAAATACAAATTGTTAAAATTTTTCAATGGAATTGTATCATTCATCTCTTTACTAGATTACCTTGGCTAATGTTTAAAGAAATATTTTATATTTTTTGTTGCTACAATTTTCGTGATAATAATCGTAATTTAGACTGATGTAATAACTCATAATCAAACTTTTTTCACCTTAAAAAGTAATTTTTCATGATTGATTTAAGTTGACTCATACAGTGTTTCTGAACGTATTGGGGAAAATTGAAAACTTCCTTCATTTAAATAGTGCGAATGGATCGTGTAGCGTAATTGGAAATGTTTGTTGACTATAAAACGTAAATTATACAACGCTCTAGTATGTCTTTTCCCTCTATGCAATTGGTGAACGCGAAGGCTTCAGGCTAAATGTGGTCAGCAGCTTTGTGTACTACCTTTATCCTTAAAACGTTGGGATCATGTAAAGAATGTTTTGATTTGATGGAGGAATCAAATGTACATAGCTTATTTTACGACTTCATATTATTGTGTTAACTGACTTTATCTTATAGCTATGAGTTTATTGTTTTCAAATAACGTACAATATATTGGTTGTCTTAACGGATAATGGTATTGCAAGTTGAAAATATAGTTTAACTTACGCTTTATTAAATTTTGTGATTATAAGCAAACCAGAGTATTTAAACCAACAGTGAACTAAATCTTAATGCATCGGTAGTTAATGATGCTGTTTTCAAGGTATTTCTGGCATATACTGGGAGTCAGGTGTAAATAACTTGCAGAACATTCTCTAAACAACTAAGCAATCATGAAATAGGGCGTTGTGCACTTTGCCAGAAGTTATAGTCGAGTGGTTCAGCAATTATCGACTTTCTGTCTTGTTTTGATGGGCGGACTAAATGTTTGCTCGATTCCACTTCAAGGCTCTGTAAAAGATTGAATCAAACCCTATTGTGAATTCTTAATATAAGATAACTAACTGTCTAAGATCCACATATTAATCACGCGAGACCATATTCATCGACAATATTCGAGCTATGCAATACGCACTTATTCAATTAGCAGCCAGTGTCCGAGGGTATGGCGTGTTTTTTTTCATTTACATCCTAAGTACTTTTACAAGATTAAAAGAGGCCCGTGTTTACGCTCATGTTTGCTAGTGAGAAGTAAGGAGTAGTCGAGTTCATGTATTTGGATAGTTATTTAAGTCCTGGTGGTGGTGTTAATGAAGAGGTGAATCTACATGTAGCAAAAACCAGAGCTATCTATACCAAATTAGTCCATCCTTGACGCCTTCATGAAGTTAACCTGAATGTCGGCGAAAGCAGTTTTGCTCTAAGCTTGTGAAACCTAGCCTCCATGCGAGGGTGGTATCGTTGTCTCCGAAGGATTGCTGACAGTGGCAGCACCAGATTATCATGCAATGGGTGTTCGAGTACTGACGATAGTTCGATTGGTGTCAACATTTTGAAATACCGGCTTCGGTAGTTGTCCGTGTACTATGAATGTTTCCCCAGCTACTTCCACATCGCACATTATATCTCGATTCTGGGAATGGTTGGAAAAAGCGGAGGAGTGGTCCGCGCATATCGTGGTATAAAAGAAAGCTGTGCAGGACTGGCTTCTGTTGCTCTTTAACAACTCCCTGTTTGAGGTCATGGAGATGATGCAACTTGGTAGCTTGAGACGTTATCAGACATTGGACGTAATTTTCTTTTACCTTCATCATATAAGGGAGAGGAATTTATTAAACTGAAATAATCCTCTCCGGTTATGTTTTTCTTAACCAGACTCTTCTGTTACTTTTTGTCTCATCTGCTTGTTTTTGTTCGTTCTTTTATCAAATTCAGCTTCCTTGCTCTAGCTCTTTACCATTTCCTTTTTATTATGTGGTGAATATATATTTTGATGCCCTTTTGTATCAATATTTATGTGTTTAAATAGATGAATAAATATATTCATCAATCAAATATATATTCCATCCTTCTATGTCACCCAGCAACGTCTATTTTCTCCTCATATTGAAGAGTGGCGTGAAATCGAAAGGGACCTTTATTTTGCTTAATCTAATGCGTGAATGGAGATCTTTTCCAAAAATTGTAGTCTTTCGTGCACTTTTCAAATCAATATTCCTTTATATTGTCCATATATTTCTGAGTATATCATAACAATAAAATCACGTTTAATTTCAAATTAAAGTTACGATGAGTGTAATTATTGAAAGCCTTTTTCAGCTGAATAAAGTGAACCCTTCGGTAGAAATTGTTCGCATTTACGTACTTTGGTCATAGGTTCAATATAAATAGAATCATCATGAATTATTATTTTTACCATTCATAAACTATAATACCCGATAGGATTACACATTGATTAATTATTTTCCCGTAATAGTGAGGGTGATTAGTAAATCTCCCAGTATTTGGAACTTCACTAATTTTTGAACCATTTAAATAAGAATGAATTCAAGATAAGTCAACTTTCGTGTATAATTCGTATATTTGGGGCTGTATAGTTAATAGGAGCAATAAACAGTTATGATTGCACCTGAAAATACTAACGTTTCACGATTTGGAGAGATGATGAAACCAGAAAGGGACTGTATGACTTTGTCTAACTTCATGTTTAAGGTTGGGCGAGGTATTTTGAGCTCTTAAATATCTTACATTGTTCAACATGACTGACTGTTTATTGCAAGTGTGAAGGCGTTTATCCGTCACTTTCTTTCAAATAAATCATTTACGCTTTTAGTTAATTGTTATATGCCGTAAAAATTTTACACAGAATATACTCGAACTGCTTTTCTAACAATAATGTCCAGATTTTTTAGAACTTGTATTAAATATGTTATCGTTAATACGTTAGCCATTCACAAACTATGTGGTGGAATCCTAACTACGGAATGTTTGGTATTGTGAGAGATCTTTAGATAAAACTAATGGTATTCACATATGTAATGACGATGTAATATTTTATTCTCTTCAATAAACAGTTAAATTAAAGAAAGTAAACGAACTATTTTTTCAAACCAAATAACCTGATCTAAACTGACAGGGACTGCACAAGACTTACTATTCACTATGTACAAATTTAGTGCCTAGATCAGGAAAAAAATTGCTTGTTATAGTATTGGATAAGCCAGGTAATTTCATTTTATGCTCTAATAAACAAATGTTAAGATTAGAGTCAATGTGTAACAAATAGGAGTAGACTCAATGGCAAAGCATTCTTCTCGAGTCTCTAAAGTATTCAGGGCACCTAAAAACTTGCGAATCGATATTATCTGCAAACATTTAACAAATTTTGAAATGGCATAACCTACATCAAGATTGTGAACTATATCTCATCACAAATATCAGTGAAATCAATTTCTAGTGAACCAATTATGAATAACATATATGCATTATTCCATTGAATTTAGCGTCACTTTCCAACTTTTAGTGTGTCGTATCCAAATAATCATGTTCTTTTTTCTATCATATCGAATAGATTTTTTTCTTAGTTCTTCATTAACACCGATATATAACGAGAAGATATTTCTTTGACCGAGTGTTTCCTAGTAAATATCCTTATAAGTTTATTGTAAGATCAGTAGAATGATAGTAGTTGGAGAGAGAGAGAGAGTAATGCAAATAACTAATTTGTTCAAAATATGCATTACTATAACTATCATTATTATTGTGTGTTTGCATTATATTTATTATTAAAAAAATAAGTCTAAAGCAACATTGTTTCCCATTTAGGAATTGAGAACTATTTAACACACAAGCAACACTATCAACTGGTTGATATTATTATTATCATGGTTATTATATATTTAAAGAATTCACCATCTGAAATATTAGGTCAATAATGAACTGTTATGGATCTCAGATATTTTCTTTTACAATGCAATAGAAAAGTAATTTTAACTTCAATATTTGAACAGACAAAGTGACTTCACTTTAATGAGACCATTATGAACATCCATGGAAAATTTCATTCTTTTTGTTGTGTTTTCTTTTAAAATACTATTACAAATAAAGAACAAAGGTGTACGATTCACTTAGTATTACTTGTTTGAATCTTCCTATTGATGTTTAGGACTGCAACTGGTCAGTCTCTTATTGGCATATATGCATAGTGTACGTATTGCCTCGATATAGCCTTAATTCACAAGCATGGTTAGCAGAGATGGATAGTGGCTAGCAGTGGAATCCAGGATGAGCGTTTCGTCCTATTTAGGACTCTTCGGCTGGATGTACCTGCATCTCAGAGTTGATGTTCACTCTGGCACTCGAACCCAGTACCTTTCGCTTCAAACGCCATCGCGTTATCCACTCAGCTACTGAGTCCTGATAGCCACTTGTTTGTGCGATGGGGTGAAGTTTAAATTCCCTTAGTATTATTTCTTCGAATCTTCCCATTGATGTTTAGGACTGCAACTGGTCAGTCTCTAATTGGCATATGTACAAACTGTGCGTATTGGCTCGATAACGCGATGGCGTTTGAAGCGAAAGGTACTGGGTTTGAGTCCCAAAGTGAACATCGACTCTGAGATTCAGGTACATTCAATTGACTCATCCTAAATAGGACGAAACGCGCGTCCTGGATTCCACTGCCAGCCACTATCTATCTTTGCTTACAAAGGTGTACAATGTTACAATCTAATTATGTTTTTAATGTTGTATTTTATCAAGAGACTAAAGTATTTTGTTATTTATTGTATAATCATAAAAATGTAATAAACCAAATCAAAATTAAAATTTTAAAGTTTAGTAATTTTTGAATTAAATGTTCAATGGTTCATTAGACTTTATTGTTTAAGTTTGTTAACCGTCACTAATTTAAACATTATTCAACAATGAACATGATAATTTTGGTTTGTTTATCATAATCACCATAGGAAACAACAATAATACACTCGAAGGTTTTTTTTGTTGTTGTTAAGTCCAAGTATATTTTTAAGTAATATTAACAAAAGAATTATAATCAAGGATACATGATGTAACAGAATTGGTAGAAATATTATTATTCCATTGATTAGTCATCTTGATAAATTTTTGTTTATCAAATAATGTTGAATATTGTTGTTCATGAAGATTAATTTTACTGTTGTTATCGTTTTGTTGTAAAGTTCTTTCATTGTTGGAATATAATAAAGTTTTCAATTTCTTTGTTTTCATTCTACGATTTTGAAACCATACTTTTATCTTGAATATATATTTAAGAAAAAAAAATAAATCATATACATATATTGCCAGTAATCGAGCTTTTAATTGTGATTATTGCACTATATAGGTAGAACATTTAATGTTATGTAAACTTTTATTTTTGAAAAAACAAATGGTAAGTATACAACTATGGAGGTTGTTTATTAAGTGAGTATACACGTGATTCTGTTTGAATTCACTAATCAGTTGATTCACAAGTAGCTTTATATGTATGAATTTGCCCCCAAATATCTTGGTACGGTCGAAGGTGGGGAAAGTCAACTTTCCCTCTCCAAATGCACTCACATGGCCTCATGTATACAGCCACTGTCAGGGAAGTCGTACTCACTGTCTTCTCAGAGTGGGGTCGTCGTTTATGAAATTGAGTGGACGAAAAGTGAATATTGGGTGCTTTAACTGGGTTAGTGAGTTCAGAGGTTCCACTAAGTCCATACAGAAATCGAACGATAAAGTATAGAGCATATATATTTGGTGCTCTCTTGTACTGATGTTTATGTGTCTTAAGTAAACAAATGAAATACTCAATTATTAGCTTACATTTGAATCATCAATGAATGCGATATTTTTTACCGTTTATAAATTACGACCAACTAACTAGAAAAACTTACTCAGCTTTGTCACATTTGTAGTACATACCTATCAAAATCTAATATTTACTGTATGATGTAGTTTTGCATCTATCAGTTTTAGAGTTTGAGAAATATAATGAATCCAAGTTACTTAGATAACATTTCTTCTGTTATGGTCAGTGAGTAACTTGGATTCCTGAAGAAGAAAGGAAAAGAGGCAGATTAAAGTATAGAATGCGCCGAGAATTCGAGGTAGACATCAAAGGAATGAATAGCAACTGGAAAGAAGAGTCCAGGACTGAGCTGTTTAGAGAAACCTCGCCGACAGACTTTGCTCCATCACCGGTAAGAAAGGTAAATAACTAAGTGAGTGATGTTCGGATAAATGAATTTCGCGTGGGCCAATATAGCAGTATGAGATCACCAAACGACTTAAAAGTCAAACTTGTAAGGAATTTATAAAGTAACTAGTTTGCCAAACTTATCTACTAAAGCTTATTAAAAATATACTTCTAAGTGAACTTCAGTATTGTTGAATTTCTCTACATTTCAAAATCCACTTGATTATTCATCAGTAAAAAATCTACTTTTATTTGAAACCATGTAAACATTTCGAATAAATCATTATTATTATTATTATTATTATTATTATTATTATACTGATGGAAGAAGAATATTTCAGTGAAGGGATTTCATTGTCAAAACTTTTATATGTTATTCAAGATATTTTACATGGAAATAATTTCTCTGTGGTTTTCAATTTATGGTAAATTGTTATACAATGATTATTTTTAATTAGGAGAAATTAAAATTTCTGTGTAAGATTTTCTCAATAAGTCGAAAATGCCTAAATTAATTTTAGTTCATCAAGTTTCTTTTTGAAAACTTACAGAATCTTCTGTCGTATAAGTATTGACGTTTAATTTTGTATGTAGTTCATAACTTTTATGTTGATAGATTGAGATTGTGAGAGTTCATCCGTTAACCATAGGAAATGTAAACGTTTTGTAGATTAGTCATTATCGTTCAATTGGATTCTTTTTTCATCATTCAAATCGATTGCTTACAAGTGACGAAATCATTTTCGATACTTGTAATATTTACGCGTACATTTAGCAATACATTACAACTTTGCTTTAATAAATTCACTTATTATTGACATTGAATAACAGTCAGGACTCAGTGTCCGAGTGGATAACGCGATGGCGTTTGAAGCGAGGGTACTGGGTTCGAATCCCAGAGTGAACATCAACTCTGAGATGCAGGTACATCCAGCTGACGAGTCCCAAATAGGACGAAACGCGCGTCCTGGATTCCACTGCTAGCCACTATCCATCTCTGCTAACCATTCTTGTGAATTAAGGCTATATCGAGGCAATACGCACAGTATGCATATATGCCAATTAGAGACTGACCAGTTGCAGTCCTAACAAATCGATGGGAAGATTCAAACAAACAATACTAAGTTGAATTTAGTCCGTATACTGTTTGAACCTTTGATGTTCTAGAAAGTTTTCTAAAAGTTGAATCATGTTTGTTCGTGACTGATCTGATTGATAGATTTATTACTAATCTTGGTATATTTTTAGAAGGTTTCAGTTATTTAAAAAAAGAATTAAAGCTTTTTATGTTTCCACCATCTTGTTGTTTTTAGTGTTCAACTGTCGAAAGTTATACCAGTTTAGAAATCCTTTGAGATATCAATATCACAAGCATTAACTGTAATGTCCACTGAAATTTCAAATTAAATTAAATAAATCTATTGTATATAGCTGTTTTCGTAAATTTTGCTACTATTGATTGTCGTTAATTTAGAAAACCTTGAGTGAGAGAAATGATTTGAACCAGTTGTCATTTAACTACCAATACACAATCCTAAATAATTTTTTTTAAAACCTAATTGGTTCTCAAATCTTAGTATTTTTTTATCGTTTTATATTTTGTCTTAGTTATGTGTGCTTAGATAATATACAACTAATTTTATATAGTAAAAATCATGAGTCAATCGAAGCTAGACCACCACGGAAATCCTGGAAGCGCAGGATGGCTGTTTCGTCCTATTGTGGGACTCCTCAATAGTGCGCATCCAGGAGTCCTAAAATAGGACGAAACGGCCGTCCAGTGCTTCCAGGTTTTTCATGGTGGTCTAGCTTTAATTGACTCATGATTTCTGCTATATAAAGTTACTAAAACCTCAACAAAAACCCCTTCTGATACAACTAACTGTCATTTAATTACAAATTAAAGTTTATATTAAAATCAAGACTCAAAAGATTCTTATATATATCAAAACAAAGTACATTTGACGAGTTCACACAAAAGAGATTCATAAAACTAACCGTAAAGGTCAGTAATTGACAAACTATCTGTGAAGAAAAAAGTATTACTACAGATTGTTCTGCAATAAATACCTCTTATTCACATATTAAAAACATGATATCTTCTGCCTATTAGTCGATATCAATTTATCAGTTGAACAGGCTACAAGAGCTGAAGATCATGGGTTCAGTCCTTGTATACTCACTGCTAAGGAGTCTCATAATAAGATTAAGCAGCTGTCCAGTGTTTCATGCTTTTTACAGGTTGTCTAAATTTAATTAATTCATTCTATAAGACTATAAAAATGTATACATAATGTAAATATCTGAATGAAATACATTTGAAAATTTTCGTTAATTAATCTCACTTGTCTTTCACTTAATTGTAATTTATTGGAAATTTCCCACCTTCTTTGACGAGTAATATATGGCATCACTGCATATTCTTTTTCTAATATCATAATTTGATTTCTTGAATAAGGTTTCCTTGTTTTTCTTCTATATTGTCCGACTTTTAAAAAGAAACATTGAATGGAAATGATAAACAAAGACGTTTTCTATATATTAAAACAAGTTCTTCGAATCCCTAATTTAAATGTTACCAGTTATTACATAGCAAACATCAAAATCTTTGTCGTATTGGTTAATTTATAAATTCCATGTTGAAGATTTTGAGAGCTTGTTTGAAATAATATGAAGTATATCTTTCTTGGGAAATAAACTTATTGAAAAATGTACGGTGAAATCTCTAGTACAGTCGAGGGTGAGGAGAGTCAGCTCTCTGTCCACATGTATACAGCCACTGTCAGAGTATAGGAATGTCTTCAAATACGTCTAGTGTAATGGATTATCTATCCTAAGTTTTGTAAAATGCTACAACTAGTAAATATTCAGAAAATCAATCAATTACTGAATTTATACTTTTAGAAACTCGAACAAACAAACACATGAAGTAGATTGATATTGGTGTGACAGTAAACTTGTAAAAACTGTAACGGAATTTTCTATCAATGATCTACAATTGTTTCTTTTAGATATCTTTGTTTTGTTTCAGTATGATGTGCAAGATATCTTAGTACTGAAAAATATTTATTGAATGGTGATCAATGGTCAAGAATATATATTACTTCTTATTGTTAAATGTAAAAATATATATAGTCTAACTGACTGGTAATCTTGAAGTTTGTATCACTCACTTACCTTATTTAAACAGCTATTGGAAACTAGGAAGAACCGAACAGTTGTTGTCTTCTCTTATGGAACCTTTTGGTAGTACACATCCACGGCCTCATAGGGGATTGGACCCGAGACATTCAGGTATTGCGACGAATACATAGCCCTTACACCACTTTGTTGGTACTCTATTGCTAATATTTCTAGCTTCAGTCAATTCACAATATTATACATTCATCATCAGATGCCAGTGGTAAATTAATTTCTCACTTCCAAAGTGGTTGGAATCCACTGGTCATGACTACTCATTAGAAATCCAGGGATTACCCTTCGAAAAAGTCAATAATGAGCACTTCACTATTACTAGAATAGCGGCTTTGCTATAGTTGTTGCATTTTATAGTTGACTGAACTTCAACTCAGAATGAAAATACTATTATCAGAAATTTATCGTTCAAACTTAACCTTTCTATTCATGATTAACTGGTTTGAAAATTATCAGCGATCAATGATAACTGAATAATTGTTTGCTATTATGATATGTTCTTAGGAAAAAAAAACTGTTCACATAACTGAAACTTATAGCCTCTTGTCTTTTCATTATCGTGATACCGTTAAGTTGGTCAGTTTATTTTCTTGACTCCAATTAAGTTCCCACATGTTACACATCATTCTACATATAGTCAGTGCAACTTAATCATATTTCAAATACATGTAGATAATACTAATGATCTCATGCAAAAACTTAACTAAAATAATACCGAATGGTCATTAGCAGGAAACCTGGGTCCAAGATTTCCTGTCAACTATTTCCAACCACCTAACGTCACAATTTCCTATATTTATAAAAATCCGAATATCAAATTAACAAACTGAAAATAACACAACCATAAAGATATTTATCATTAGAACATTATTAATTTTTAATAATGAATTAATCAAAGTTGAAATTATACCATTTGACATCTCCTTAACTATTCTTATCTTTAATCAAACATCACAAAATCTTAAGGTTCTGAAATTGATCCCGTTTTATGATAGTAAGTACAATGTGTTGAGAATTTTCATACTATGATTTAATGAACATATATTCTAAATAAGATTAATCAGTGATGACTTACCATGATCGGTTATTGTTGTTGTCGTGGTGGTGGTTGTTGTTGTTGTTGTATAATTATGTATTGAATCAGTTTTATTATAAATATCCTTTAAGTTATAATTATAATTAATTTTACAATAATCAATATTATTTTTTGATTGATTATCATAATTTTTTGTTAGAATGCATAAATTTTTATTTGGTACATTTATCATTACATTTTTAACCATGGATGATAATGAATTTAAATGTTCTAAAGAATGATCGGAAATATTAAAATATTTTTTATAATAATTATTATTATTATATTCATCTGAATTATAAAAATTATGTGTATAGTTTGATTGAAGATTTTGTTTCATATAACAATCAACTATTATTTGATCTGAATGAATTAAAGAATTTTTAGTTGAACTATAATAAGAGTTTAATAATTGATTGTCATTTTTTAAATGTATTCCTGAAGGTGTATTCATTCTTCTTCTACTTCTCCATCTTCCTCTTCTTCTTCTTTTTGCAGATCTGAAATCAATTCAATGATTGAGTAATACTGGAAAGAAAAGGAAAAGAAAATTTATTTGTACATACTGTATTGTTCACAAACTGATGGTCAGCTTGAGAGTAAATAAAAATCAAGAAATATACATTAGTTGTTTTTGATTTATTAGAAGGGCGTTTTGTGGACTTTTAGTAATTTTATATAGTTGAAATCATGAGTCAATTGAAGCTAGACCACTATAGGAAACCTGGAAGCACTGGATGGCCGTTTCGTCCTATTGTGGGACTCCTCAGCAGTGCGTATCCATGATCCCGACTAGCAAGATTCGAACCCAGGACCTATCAGTCTCGTGCGCGAGCGCTTAACCGCTTGAAAACTGAACTGACCAGCATCCAACGGTGTTAATGTCTAACTTCAACCAATCCGCGAAGATGAGCAACCATTCACCAATGTCTTCAGTCGGTTGATATCTCCCAACAGACGTGGCTGAACTCCACTGGTTTCTGCTTCTCACTAGAACTGCAAGAAATATCTATTGAATTCAGTCACTAGTGAGCATATGATCATTGTCAGAAGGGGGTTTTGTGGAGATTTTTGCTTTATTTAAAAGATTATTTCATCACGAATTTACTAAACGGAAAGATTCATCAATTTAATTACTAGATCTAATAATATTAAGCAATGTCTATGTAACTTGTACATTATAATGAAATTAATGTCCACTGAATGTTGTATGACTGTAGTTAATATAAAATAATAGGTGTATTCAATTTCGTTAGAATAATTAGTTAACAAGAGAATTTAAAAAGTTTATTCAATTATTTAAATTATAATTATTTATTACTAAACTATTCTCTTAAAATTACAGTTTACTTACAAATGTCTTACGAGAATCATAAATATTTTTGTTTTTATACAGATTCATTTTTTCCTTCTGTCAGTAAGAATCGAACCTCAAGTTTCTGATATATGCTACTTATACCGGGAGATATAAGTAGCATACACCTTAATATTATTTCATAGTTAACCTTGAAGATTTCTTCCACTGTCAGTTAATAAACTTGAATACATTAACTAAATTAAAGAATAATTTACTTTTCTACTGTATCAAAGTTTATAGTAATCAAAAACTGATTAAACTTCATAAGTTGTATAGTGTTTGAATCATGAAAGATTTTGACGCTATTTTCTGCTTAAGATACTAACAACTTTTTACCCTAACGGAGGCTATATTTCTTTTTTCTAAAAACAATGATTAGAAAAACTTCGTTTTTTTATTACTTAACGATATCTGAAATTAAAATTTGTTTGCTTATAAATGCTCTGAATATCTGGAATAACTTCATCTTCAAGGTTATTACAGTGTTAAGTTCATTTTTGGAATTCGAACACTACTTTCAGTTTTTAAATTAGTTGAAATTGTAAAATAAGGTTAGACTAATTTTTGGACAAGTGACCTTGAGAATGTAAAACTACTAACAAGGACTAAGTGAGGGTTATAAAACAGTGTGAGGAAACAGAATTATGATTTGCATCCGATGGCTAGGGCTAGGAATTAGATTTAGGGTTTTCGTCACGAACTGACATCAGCTAAGATGCCGAAACGTTATTTAGCCAAATGGCTGACTTAATTTTGCACCAAAATCCAAGGCTCGTTATCTTACATCGGATTGGTTCGTCCATAAATTATAGTCTCGTCTATACCTAATATCTGAATGAGTGAAAAAATGCCTAAAGTTTACGAGATAAAATGAAAATTTACACAAAAACACTTTCCTCAATGTGAAATTCGTTTTTAAAAAAGTATAATACAAAGATTATATAACAAGTAAGAATAGTGATAATATCGAAAAATCAGTCCCAATGTGAAATAACCGATTAAATAACTATCATCATTGAAAGCAGAAACTAAGAGAATGAATAACAGATGGAAACAACTTCGAAAGATTGCCCAGGACAGAGCTGGATGGAGAATGCTGGTAGCCGACCTATGCTCCTCCGCGAAGTGAATTTTATTTTTGATAATCTGTAATAATAACTAATGGATTTCATATCACTTGGAGCTAGAATAATTTCATTCAGATTATTTATTTGAATTTGTATAGACCCACGATAAAAGAAATAGTGATTTGAAAGAAATGGAGAAAAATTATTTACCTGAATAATTTACTTAACAGACATGTCTTTTCTTAAATAATTTCACTGAATGACATCAAATAAATTGTATTCTATAGATAAGGGAATGAACCTCGTTTATTATATGTGTAGAATATGTAAGACCTTATGATTTGTGAAATACTTAGAAGACTATTCATCTAATAACTTTCTATTCAGTTAACTATATACGGAAGCAAATTCATTCTCATTTTATAATCTTCACTAGTTAGAACAAAATCATTCAATCTATCGAATACTTAATAATGATAAAAACAGTCAATAATTTAATATCCAAACACCAATGTTTATTAGGAAACTTTTACACATAATAATGTTGGGGGATAGAGTTGTGAGATGATGGATGCAAATCTACTTCAGTTATTAGTTCGATAATCTTAATATGTATTCCATAGCCTTAGTTTAGATATGACATTTAGTTGTAAATTTTTATCAAGTCGATTTGGTTTTTTAAATCTTAGCTAAACTATGCTGATCTGTGTTTGTATAAACAAATAATCAATAACATTCCTATAGGTATGTTATATAAAGATAATGACCAGCTGATTGGAACCTGACTAAATAAGATAAATTGACGTGATTATATTATTAGTCTTTTTAAGATTGATGTTTTCTTGTTTTATTATCATACTACAGTAAGTTACATTCTATCTGGCGAAAAAATGAATTCTAACTTTAGTAATGTTGTATTTTACAGACTTAATCTTGAGTTGTCAACTACATGATGATGTATTTTCAATATGATAACGAACTAGGAGCAGGTAGATAACCATTAATTGCGTCATTTATTTTTCGAGATATCAAATAATATTCCACTCTTTTGATAGTCAGTATTTAAGCTTTGTTATCGGAGAACGCTGTCAGAAGACACATGAAAAAGGATAATTGTACTTTAAAATATGCATGAAGTCTTTTATCCCATCTTTATATAACTATAATAGTATTAAATCAACTGGATTTCAGTATACTGCCTATGTAGTCTATGCATAATGTTATCAAAATTAAAAATGTAAATGACGAATATTGATATTTACTATCGAATTTATAATTAAACATAAATATTTTCTGGATTCGTATTCATTCGCTCAATCATTCATCATTTAATTTTCATGAATTTTTACCTAAAATTATACTAGAATTCTTCGTTTTATTCTATCAGCTTTCGTTGTAATTTTTGAAGGAAATTAGCGGTTGTGTTTGAAGTTATCAGTTTATTCGATAAATTATTTCACACCTTAATAAAAGTTGATATCAAACTTAAACAAATATTATTGTCAATATGGGGTTGCGGAGATTGTTAAATTTCATTGAAATCATGAACTGTTCAGTGTTAACCACCATTTAAAACCTGAAGGCACTGGATGGCCATTTAGTCCTAGTATGGGACTCTTCAGCAGTGCGTATCCACAATCCCACATTCGGGATACGGACCCAGCACCTTCAATCTCGCACTAAAGTCATGACAAATGGAGTTCATCCATGATAGGTGTGAGACAGTTACTTACCGAAGAGCACTGTAGATGGTCACTCAATATAGCGGATTGATTAAAGTTAGACATTATTACTACCAGATATCGTCCTAATGGCTTGAAAGTTTACCGTTCGAGAGCAAGAATGAGGATCCTGGGTTCGAATACCGCGTGTGAAATCGTGAATATGTACTACTGAAGAGTCTCTTATCGAGACGAAACGGCCATTTAATGCTTTTCAGTTTTCAATGGTGGTCTAACATTGACCGGTTGATGATTTCAATGAAATATAATCATTTATATAAAGAAAAAAAATATATATATATATTGAGACGTACCTTCTAAAATATTATTTTTATTGTTGTTTCATATCACCTTAATTATTTTTTAAAAAGATGTATGAATGTGAACTTCGTTTTTCAAAATGTCTTTATCATTTATTGCAATTTAATGAAGCGCAATAAACCTATTATATATATGAATGGTATATAACTGTATCTACAAAGTTATCTCAATTTCTACCTATATTCTCATTTCACTTCATATTAATCTGTCTAATAAGTTGTATGCAACTGTTGTCCATTGTACATTATTAAAAAAAAAACCGTATACATATATATATACACCTTCAGTAAACTGTCACTCAACACTTATCTATAATTTCTCACCAATTTAATAATTATAATAATATTTAGGTGAAATATATTTAGGTAATAAGCTGTAAATCAGGTAGAATATTTATACTGAAATAACATAGTCATCAAATAATTATTTGATAAATATATATTCGATGTAGGGTATATTTGTACCTCATCAGCCGAGAGATTGCTGTCCATTCAATTGTCATTTTAACCTTTATAAGTGATATCTGCTAAATCTATGAAAAAAATTCTAAATAGTTCTATCAAGCATAATTGTTCAATGAAAGACTTTTTCAATATTATATCTTGTTAAATATTCAGGAACTCATTATTTTGTGTTCGGGAACATCGATCATTCATATTGTAAATATGAGTATTTAAAATAAAGAGTTTTAATAAATTCAAAACTGATAGTAATTTTCTCTCGTAACTGAAAAATTAACGTATATTTAACTGTCCATCAGTACCATCTAGAAGATGATACGAGTAGTATTCACGGTATCCAGATATACTTGTGGAACTAAGTATTCACATAGGACTATGAGGATTTCTTACAAGATTTAAGAAGTAGATTACTTTGAGTTTACACCTGATAAGGAACAAAGCATGATGAATAATGGACAGAAAGTGGGTAATTATAAAACTTTCAAAATTGTTTTTCAACAAAGAACGTCAAAATTAACTCCCATTATTTATAAGCAATTTTCATTTCATGTTTTAAACTTGACTTATGTAAACATAAAATTCGTGACCAACCACTTTTTGC